GGGTGTGACATCATGCTGTATGTCTGCGGCATGATGCCCCAGTACTAGACCTCAGTATAAACTGCCACACTGCAGACATTGTAGAGGTGAGACTCAAAAATTGTTAAAGCTACGATAAAAATCCAAATCACACACACGCGCACTCACTCACACACACACACACACATACACACTTCTCTATTTCGACTCTGTACATATTATGTATATACATTCTCTATTTCCACATTGTATATATCATGTATTTACTTAAACCAGTCTGCTGAATGAACGTGGTCTCTTCCTTTGCACCAGTTATTGTTGTCATTGGAAACAAGATAGTCATACGCAAGGCAGCTAAAGACCTATACGTGGATGCATGATACATTGCGGTCGGCCAAATATTTCATCTCCGTAGCACTGGCTGCCGCATATTAATGCAAGCGGGGTAACATGATTGCGACGAATAGAGAGTTCAGAGAACCGCGAAAGCTAAATAAATTTGTTTTTGAACTATGATATATGTTCCGATAGAGAAGAAAACATTCATTTCCTTTGACAGCCTTTATACCAAATTAATGGAAATAACCCCATCTCATTTATAATTTCCACAATTTGACGAACTTTCTACGCATGATAGGCGATGGAATAAATTGGCAAATCAGTTAGAATTGTAATTACATGATATGTAAAATGTGCCTTCTTTCATGTGTGTATTCCACTTTTTGTTCTTGCTTGCAGAAGTACAAAAGATGATAATGAAATTACATTAAAGAAATTACATTATATATATATATATATATATATATATATATATATATATATATATATATATATATATATATATATATATATATATATATATGTATGAGACAATGAAATATGTGTGTTACCCTAATAAGATACACGCTTGTTATACAGTGAAAGACGTTTATTACTCAAGTGAAACAGATGTTACCATAATGAAAGACGCATGCTACCCGGGTGAAATGCATCCTTTTACCACAAAGAAAGAGGGATTCCCAAATGAAATCCATGCTTGTTACCACAATGAAAGATGCGAGTTATCCTAATTATTCAATTGGTCGGTTTTGGTGCTTTACAGCACAGAAAACCATGTAAGTTGTTTTGTGCTGACGCAATTTGAATAATGTGCCTTGCATATATGCACACCACGGTAACTGATGTCGGTTAGTCCATGATAGGATTCGAACCCGCGCACTTTTGATCGTGAGTCTGGTACGCTAACCAAAGAACCACTTGGGCACCATGTTACCTTAATGAAATACCTACTTGTTTACCACAATGAACAATATGTTACGTTAATGACATCGTACGACAGTGAAAGACATGCATTAGCTCAGTGAATACATACTTGTTACCACAATGAAGACCCGTATTACCCAAATAAAATACATGTTACCACAGTGAAAGACGTGCGTTACCTTAATGAAATACGTAATTGTTAACACAATAAAAGACGCGTGTTACTGTAGGAAATGCGCACTTGTTTGCAAATGAAAGACTACTAGAATTCTTAACATGAATTGGTGTAGGATACAAAAGTTCCACAGAAGAGTCAGACTTTGCGTCAAACACATTTTTTTTAGTGTCTGTCGCAGAATTTTTATCTTATTCTTAAGATGGAGTTCAGATGTTTACTAATTATCTCCCAAGATAATGAAACGAACAGTCTGATTGGGCGCAGCTAGAAGAACTTTATCCAATCAGATGGGCAGACCGGTAAATACTGTGTCCGTTATTACAAATAATGTTTATCTTAAATTTTGTCAAAAAATGTTTAAGTAACGATGAAAAGCACGGGCTTCTGCCAGTTTGTCTGAGCTGTGATCACCGTAGAAAGTCATGTCACGTGATGAAGATACTCCTGACTTGGAGGTGGGACGTCGCGGGTTCGAACCCCGGCCGACTCACACAAAAGACTTATGAAAAATGGTACTAGCAGCTGCCTCGCTTGGCACTCAGCATTAAGAGGTTAGTGTTAGGACTGGTCGGCCTGATGTCAGGATAATGTGACTAGATGGGACATGATGCTACATGGCTGCGGCATGATGCTCCAGTTCTGAACTGCCACACTGCTGACGTCGTAGTGATATGACTAAATGTTGAAACGGCGCTATAAATCTAAATCACACACGCACACACACACACACACACACACACACACACACACTCCTGACTGTTGTTCTACACTAAAGAACAAAACAGAACATGCAACAACAAAACAAAATACGACCACGCACGAACCTGGTAATGAGAAAAACATTTTAACCTGATCAAATACATAATTGTTAAGCCACCTGGAAACGTACCAGTGCTAATGTAGACGATGAACTTTGTGTTCTTTATAATTTTAATCATTGTCTTTGCAGAATACGGAGGGATTTATCTAGACACGGATGAGATCATCTTGCAGTCGCTTGACGTCTTCCGGAATTTTGAGGCAACAGTGAGTCTAGAACAGAATGGCACCGTGGCCAACTCGCTCATTATGGCCCGACGT